AGTAAGTATTTCTCAGTTTCTGTTATCTCAACATGCAGTTGTTTTACTGCATTTTCGGGACATGAAAAGCATAGAGACATGCTAGGTTTTGTTTTCATCTTTCATATTCTTTTTTTTTAGTATTTCTAGCATGGTTCTCGTGGTTGTATTAGTTTTCGTGTAGTTGACAATATGTTTGGATGTTATGTATGATTCTATTTTTGAAATATATCATTCTACCTTCTTTGATAGATAGATTATTATTATTATGATTATTATTATTAGTATTATTATAGCTATTATTATTAGCGGCTGACTTACATCACAGCATGCTACAAAAGGTTTAGTGGGGAATCTAATGTTGAATTAAGTTACACAGTGTAATTTGTAGAGCAGGCTGAGGGATGGAACATTAAGGTTAGGCTTTACATTTTCCATCTCTATTAATGGGAACCTGTTAAAATGTGCATCCATCGAATCGTTTTTTTGGAGATCTAATACATGAAAATGCCGGCCAATTGTATTCACAGCATTTGAATATTAAGATGGATTTGTGATTCTGCAATTTCATATTCAACTGCATCGGTAACTCCTTTTAGCCTCTGTACCCTATTTTTCTTTGCAAATTCAAAAGATATATATTGCTCCTAAAATTGAACACTCGATTTATTATCTTTTGTGCTGTTTTTAACTTTTAGATGCACTAGTTAAGATTTTATGGTTTTGTGTAGTGTCTGTCATGATGCCTCTAGCAAAGCAGTGTGCATTTGAAGAGCCTTCTGTTGAGATTATCAGTGGTGAAAATGTATTGACCTGGCCTCATGTGGTGAGTTATTCTTCATGTGTTGATTTCTTTAATATTAAGGGTGATGGGATATAAAGTATTCTGGTTTTGATTGGATTTGTTGGTTAACCAGAGTTAATTTTGAAAAAGTTGATTGGTTAAGTTTGAGTGAGATTTTGAGTTTGTATTAAAATAATATTTAAAATATAATGATTAAAGTTGATTTGATGTAAAAGTAGGAGACATATTATTGGAAGGGATGGTAGTTAAAATTATGTGAGTGAATTAAAATAGTTAAATTTGAGTTAGATTTTGAGTTAAAGAAAATATTTGGTCAAAAGTGATTAGGTATGTTAGAGACAATCAGGGACTAGGTTATTCTGGCGCCTGCATATCATTTTCTATTTTACCTAACACGGCATTGTCCAGTGTATCTGATGTTTGTCATCTATCTACTCATCTATAAAAAGCTTATAAGACTTTTTTTTCCCAATGTCTGTTTAACATCTTTTTTTTTTTTTTTTTTT